GGGCCTGTCCGCCCCCAATGGTTTCTCGTAGCGGCGATGTGGCACCGCAGTCGCGACAGAGCAGTCACGGGTCATGTCAGCAACAGTCTCGCCAAGCGTTGTGGTCCGCGCGGAGCGCCAAAGTTTATGTTTGTGGCGTCTTTCCTTCTTCGATCCTCCTCCTCCTCCCCCCCCTCCGCCTCCTCCACCTCCTCCTCCTCCTCCTCCTCCTCCTCCTCCTCCACCAACGGGTCGGGGCAGGGGCGTCGCAGGCCGACACGCATCTTGGTCGCGTGGCTGCGCCTGGTCGCGGGCGACCCTTCCGGCGCGGCGCGTGCGCGTGGCCGCCGCCGCGGAGTCCCGCTCCTGCCCCGGGGGAGCGGCCCGGAAGCAGGCGGCGCTGCTCCTCCCCCTCCTCCCCCTCCTCCTCTGGAGCCTCTGGAGCCTCGGACAAGTCTATCCCTCACGCGGGTGAAAGATAGCCTGCATGTGTGGAAAAGGGGGCTCAATGGACAGGAAAGGGGGTCCCCACCACCATCTTGCTGGTAGGGTCCTTCCCCTTCTCAAGCTCCTTCAGAGCTCTCCTGCCCCATTCGCCTGGCCCTCTGGGAGGGCACTCCTTGGCCAAGCCTTTCACCTGACCAGTGCCATAGCTCCCACATCTTGCACAGAAGAAGGTATTCCCACACACCCACATGCGGTGGGATGGGTGGGCCCTTGCAACAATCCTTGGGGTACCTGGGCATCGTTGACTGGTCACGCGTCCTCTGCGGAGCGAGCTCTGACCACACAACCGACAGCCCCATCTGCCCCCTTGCTTATGAAGGAGGTGCCCATTATCCCCCTTTACAAGTTTCAGAGTACACAATAATTCTCCTGCTACCTTTGGCTTCCCTGGCCTCTTCTGGGCCTTAGGCATATCATCTACATTTGGAAAACCTTGCCTACTGAGATTATACAAAACACCTGACAGGAGTCGAACAAACTCAATCCCGAACTGCTCAGCGGCCCTGAATCGTTCTAGGATCTGGGGTTGGGACGGGTGACCCATCGCTCCTAACTTAGCATACCTATCGGCCTCAGAATTCCCAGCGTGCCAGTGCGGGGGAAAACCATTCCTACTCAACCACGCCTTGGATTTATGGGATGGCATCCAGACCAGCTCAAAGTTCTCTCTCCCCACGTCCTCGATTTTCCAGAAAATCAGCCTCCAAATCTCAGAATATGGTTGGGACGGAAGACACATTATTTCAGCTCCTTTGTCCACGGACAGCAGCAAGTTCTTATGATCGGTGATGATGACCGCCTTCGGCCCCATCAAGCACAGGGCCATATAAAAGGCGAAATGTTCAGCGAGCCCGGCACTCTGCACCACGCCAGGCGTGGGACCATAACACACAAGTCCTGCTTCGCGGGATCCTGGAACCAATGTACAACACGACCATCCCGAACGGGTTTGCCATTCCACTTCAGGGTTCAACCCCGATCCATCGATGAAAATCTCCAACCCCAAGTGGCCCCTGGGCCCCAGTCTTTTCTGGAACTTCTCTTCAGCCACGGATCCCACGAGCGGGGGAGGGTATTCATCTCTTCCCGAGCCTGTAACACCATACTCGACAAGCGGACAATCTCCTGCTTCCCGACTGATATCCACAAGCGCGGCCATGTCAAAGTCTCGCCGCCAAGCAGCTTGACAATCACATTCATATATACGGTGCCGAATGGTGCCTGCCTGAGCTCCACAGCTACGACGCAGGCTGGATATGGAATATCTTTCGCAGTACAGCTTGCTCTGGGTCCAGAGGCCTCCAGCAAGATGCGTGACCACTAAATCTGCCTGGATATGTTCACCCCGTCCCCTCATACGCTGCAATTCCTGCTTGATAGGATCCGAATACGGCAAACAGTCCCATCCAAAGTGCCTCTGCGCTTGAATCTCCTGGGCCCTGCGGAGGCTACGATGGATGAGGCCCTTGAGGGTCTGGAGACCTATCTCGAGGAGGTCCACCACGAGCCCCTGGGCATCTTTCCACGTCACAAAGTCTACCGCCACCCAACCCATGCGCACGAGGGTCTGGATGACTGCGCCAGCAGGTCCTATCACCGAGCTCCACCCGGCCTTGGACGCGACCGCGGCCGCTTCAAAGATGGTGGAAAGCAATTTCCGAGGGAGCCACTCTTGTCGCAGTGCTGCATACCATGTCAATAACGGTAATGTATTGACGACGAACGACGGGTCGAGGTCATACGGATCCGTTAGTAAATACTGCACTGCACGCGAGCGCCCCTCCGCCTTCCCAAACAAAACGAAGGATGCAACATATCGTAAAATGGACAGGTCCGTCGTCGACATTCCCTGGACCCTTATACCATACGTTGCTGCCGCCATCCCTCCAGCCCGAAATACACGTTTCAGCCCTTTCCTGTGATGCCTAATGGAATGAAACCGACCAGCTCGCCTCCGAACGGACCAAATCCTCTGCCTGAGCGTCTTCTTCCCCTTCCTGGACTGCATCCCGAAATCGTGCCCGAGATTTTTCACCGAGGAATGCGCTTTAAAGCTATACCTGGACAGAGCCTTCTGCAACTTCTGGGCAAGCTGGTCACTCGAGGCCACTATCTGGCCCTTCTTCCTGGAGATGACCAAACCTAACTGCCCGAGACGACGACGCAAGTCAGGCACGGCTGTGGCGATTTTCAGCTCCACGTTCCGCATGGAGCCTATCGCCTCGACGGCGATGTCATCCACCATCACATATAGAGTGAGCGAGCTCCATCTTTCCTGCATATACAGCAAGGCATCGTGCAAAATGACCCTCAGGAGCGTCGTGGCAAACGAACACCCTGCCACGATAGATCTCGCGATCTGGATAGTGTCGGACACAATCTCACGCACTTTGACACGACGCTTACCCCCATACACCATGAGCAAAAGCCTGATACGACGCAAACTGAAGTTATGCTTCACACACGCGTGCCACAATACATCGTGCGGGATCTTCTCATAGCATTTCTCCATATCTATAAGAGCCGACGCTGACGACGCTTGCATTGCTTTGGCTGACTCGACCGACGCTGCTTGCTGCCATATCGCTCTCTCACAACTCTTACCCTTCGCCCCATAGATACACTTCAGCTCGTGTGCTCGCTCCCACTGTGCTGCTTCATACCTACGGATACGGCTTAGTACTCTGATCGCTGTCGCCAGGATGCCTATGGGCCTGTAGCCGCCATCTGGCTTCTGCAAGAAGGCAATCAGCGACGTGTCGCACTGCGCTGGGATCAGCAAGTGCGTCTCCACACACGAAAGAAACTTGGCGTACACCTCGAGCGCCTGATCGCTGAGCTTCTTCAACGCAGCAGGGCTCCACCCATCCACTCCTACGGCTGTGTTCTTTTTGAACCGTTTGAGGGCTCCCTTGATCTGCTCCAGAGTCGGGACTGGTGGGGCGTCTCCAAGGGGTAGTCCTAGGTGTTCGGCCGTGAGCCGGCTGGGCTCTCCTTCGTGCCATATGATTTTCCACTCCTCCAGAAGGGACTCGACGGTGTCGACCTGGCCTGCGGGACCTCCAGAAACTCCAGTGGGGTCGGGAGCCCAACCCACAGGTTCTTTGGTGTACCTATACACAGCCCCTCCACCAACCGCCAGAGAACTATTCACCCAGTCCCTCCAAACCTTCGTCTTGGCCTGCCTGAAGCACGCCTCGACAACCTCGGCGAATTCTCGTACGGACTCAGTATACCCATCCAATTCACCAAGAGAAACGCCAGCCTGAAAACGTAACCCATCTTGAAGCTTTCACCATCCAGGAACAGCTGCTAGGTCGGATATCGGCTTACGGAGCTTGCCTACGAGATCCTTGACCCCTGACGAGTGCCAGCAGTGTTCACGCTTCCGAAGGTGTCTGAGCTCCTCTAGACGGACCTGGAACTTCCTGAGCGCCCTGGAGGCCTTGGTGCACTTGGGATAGGGGCCCTTGACATTCTCCAAAACAGGCCTAGATACCAGATCATACCCAGCTCCTCTGCCGAAATACTGCAACCTATCAGCTAAAGGAATACCTAGGATGTCAACGAGCTCTCCTTCCATCATCGCACACATGTCCGAGTACAAAAGGTTGAACTCGGTCTGGGTTGGCCTCTCGTCAAAGCCGTGTAACCTATCTAGCAGATCACCCCAGTTCCTCTGAGGCGCAAGTCCTATTGGCCCTTCAAGGGGAAAAGGCCGAGGCAACTTTAAAACCTGCCTGGTCCGTCGATGGGTGTCCGTGGAGAGAGTTAACATTACAGGATAATGCGTTTTATTCCCTGACTCCTCCACCCTGCGACAGGACTTGATCGAGCCCACGAGGTCGTGCGAGACAATGAAAAAATGGAGCTCTCTCCACCGACCTACCCTGCACGCGGGCTGGTTGCCGTACACGACGACACCCCTAAGCTTGTGAATGATTGGCAACGCCTGCACTTCTGACGGCAACGAGTTGAAGTCCGCAGCCCAGATGAAGGGCTTCTGCGCAGCATAGAGAAATTCGCCCATCTGATTTATCAGCTGACGGCCCCGTTCTCCCTGGACTCCTTCCCCATCAGGTAGATACATACTAGCTACATATAGTCCCCCTCGAACTCCTCCATTAACCCATACAATGGAACTCCGAGGATTCATAAGATGATTGTGGGGCCCTACGACGGAGCCCATGCCGATGTGGTGCTTCACTGCGATGCCGACCCCAGACGACACCCCCTTCTCACCATTCTCCCCTGCACGCACAGCTGGTGCCATTCGTAACTTCCAGCCGTCCGAACGCACACTGCTCTCACTCTGGGGTATGCGCTCACGCAAAACCTTGCACTCCTGGAAGCACATCACACGGGCACCCGCCAGAGCTGGATCAGTCAGGGCATGCTGGGTACCTGACCAACCCGACGTGTTGACCGTCACAAAGGACCATGAAGAGGCCGAACTTGATGCAGAACCTGAGTCCGACTCGTCAGACGAGCCTGCACTTGGCACACAAGGCGTGCTAAAGACTCGCCTGGCCCTCGACTTCCTTGCTCTTGCCGATACCCTTGGCCAGGAGAGCTTGGGCCTTCTCACGCCGCTCCTTACTGTTGCGTCCGAGAGGCGAGCCCTTGCCTTGCCCAGGTCCTTTTGCTGCATCCTGTCCTGGGGGGGCCTGGGACGCCGCCGCCGCCGCACCGCCGTCCGCCGCGGATGCCACGCCCGCCGATGCCCCATCTCCCTCCCCAGCCGCCTTTCCATCTCGTCGTCGCTTGCCCGCAAGTCGGGCCCGTAGTTCTTCCTGCTCCTTCTGGGCGCCCTCGGCCTTGGCCTTGAGCTCGCCGAACAGGTTGGTGGCCAACTCCCTAAACTGAGTTTTGGGTCGAGCCTCCCGATCTTTAGCTTCTTTGACATCGGACCCCTGCAGATCAATATATTCTCCCAACCCGAATAAATCATCACCGCACGATAAGTCCCAATCGGTGTCCTTGCCACTGAGAATATCACCCAAGGAGACCACCTTCTTGGCTGATGCGGCACCCTCAGGCTGAGCTGAGGATATGGTGCAGTGGAGCTCGGTGATCGCCTGCTTGTAAATCTCCTCCTGCGCCGCCAGCTCAGCCATGGTGGTGGACACGACCTCCTGCTGCTTCTGCACCTGCTCGTGCATATCTGCCAGCGTCGTGGTCTGGACCCGCAGCTCCCCTTCCAACTTGACGATGGAACGATTTGCTTGGTCAGCACGAACCTGTGGGGAGACTGCGGTGCGGTCCTTGGCCACCAAGACCGACTCGTAGTACTGTGCGAGGGGAGCATTCTTCCCTTTGTTGGCCAACTCGATGATTTGTCGCACATCCTCAATGGATAAATCTGGCACTGGGTCCTTCCCTCCTGCCTGGGCTCCGACTGGCAACGGAACCTTGCCGCCAAGCCCAGGAGGAAAATCGCCCAGCTTACCTTGGTTCCAACCATCTCGGTCAGTCCCTTTGCCCTTCCTGGCCTTCTTCTTCTCGCCTGTCTGCCAGTGAGCACCGCAATGCTTGCAGTGCACCTGGTTCCACTCCGTTTTACTGCACCCACAGCGCTCGCAGCGCCACATGTGAGAACTTCTGCCATCCCAAGAATGCTGAGGAGCCATCAGCAGAAACAAAGTACAGTGAATACAAGGGGCGCGGGTCACTGTGACCAGCTCGAGCCCCCACCCCAGGGGAAGGGAAGCCCCCAGGCAATGGCCTTGAGCCAAAGGCTACGGATCTCCCCCCTCCTCCTCCTCCTCCTCCTCCTCCTCCTCCTCCTCCTCCTCCTCCTCCTCCTCCTCCTCCTCCTCCTCCTCCTCCTCCTCCTCCCTCCTCCTCCTCCTCCTCCTCCTCTCCTCCTCCTCCTCCTCCTCCTCCTCCTCCTCCTCCTCCTCCTCCTCCTCCTCCTCCTCCTCCTCCTCCTCCTCCTCCTCCTCCTCCTCCCTCCTCCTCCTCCTCCTCCTCCTCCTCCTCCTCCCTCCTCCTCCTCCTCCTCCTCCTCCTCCTCCTCCTCTCCCTCCTCTCCTCCTCCTCCTCCTCCTCCTCCTCCTCCTCCTCCTCCTCCCCCTCCTCCCCACGACGACGACGACGACGGCGACGCCGACGACGACGACGGAGGCCGCGGCGGCGACGGCGCGACCCCGCGAATGCACACTTCATCTGGAGCGCCCCGCTGTCGAGCTCCGCCAGCGACATGCCCTCGGTGTCGGCAGGATCGGAGCCCTCCGCGGCTTCGGGGAGGGGGGAAGGGTTTCGAACGGGGCTGGGACGAGGATACATCCGTTCCAGGGCATTCTGGAACGCTCTCAGAGCGCTCCGAAACGCTCTGAGAAGGCCGCGGCGCCCGATTCTCGATGTATTCTCACCCGATTTTGTCCTCGTACTGGCTCCGTCTCAGTGTCTGACGCCGTCTCCGGCGCTGAAGGGGGGGCAGCACTCGCAATTATGGATGTGGCCGGCGTTGGGGCGAGAGCAATGTTCGCAGTCATGGGTGTGGCTGGCGCTGAGGCGACAGTCGTGGTCGTGGATGAGCAATGTTCGACAGTCGTAGCAGCGTTCGCAATCATTGATGTGACTGGCGCTGATGCGAAAGCAAAATTCGCAGTCATGGATGGCGGTCGCTACCAAGAGGAAGGGTTGCGCAAGCCAGGGCCTTAGTAGCAGCACTGCCCGGAACCGCCACAGCGAGCGCGAGGACGGGGTATAAAACAGGGCTAAGATCGGGATACATCGATCCAGAGCGTTCCGGAGCGCTCTCAGAGCGTTCCGGAACGCTCTGGAGCGGCCGCGGCGCCCAATACATCCTCCAAACCCGCCGATTCTCAGAGATTTCGAGTTATCCCGATCCGATTTTGTCCCGATCTTCGCGTCGTTTTATTGAGGTAGCAGAGGAGGCGCCCCAGGGCAGAGACGCCTTGAAACGACGCGGCTCGGGAGGAGGAGGAGGAGGAGGAGGAGGAGGAGGAGGAGGAGGAGGAGGAGGAGGAGGAGGGGGAGGAGGAAAAGGAGGAGGGAGGAGGAGGAGGGGGAGGAGGAGAGGAGGAGGAGGAAGAGGAGGAGGAGGAGGAGGAGGAGGAGGAGGAGGTCGCGGAGGAGGAGGAGGTCGACGTGGGCCCTCCGTCGGCGCCCGGCGCCTGCTGCCGCCCGGCCCAAGCCCGCAGAACAGGCGCCCCGCACCGGCGCCCTGCCCGGCCAGCAACGGCGCCTAACCCTCTAACGGGCGAAGAACGGTATAAAATAAACTTTTCGTCGTCGGGGGCGCCTGCCCCTGGGCGGCTGGAACGTTTATACCCTGACGGTGGCACCGTAGGGGTATAAACTTTCCAGCCGCCCAGGGACAGGCGCCCCCGACGACGAAAAAGTTTATTTTATACCGTTCTTCGCTCGCTGACCCCTGGCCATCGCTCGGACGTCCATTCCCTGTGTTGTTTTCGGTTCCGTGCGTGGTTTTTTCGCCAAATGCTCAAGGATGCTCCTTGATGGTCCTCGCCGAAGGAAAAATGCACACGTCCGAGCGATGCCAAGCCACCATCGTCGTACAGGGCGTCCAGCGGCTGCCGCGCTGCCGGCATCGAAGTTGCCCGCTGCGGCGACGGCGGGCCGCCAGGCGCCAGGCGTGCAGCGGGAGAGTGCGAGGGCAACGAGCCATTCCACTGCCACAGGCACGACTGCAAACATCAGCATCACTCGCAGCAGCACCAGCGCCACCAGCATTGCCTCTGTCAGTGGCACGACGAAGACGAGCACCACTACGCGCAGCGCCACCAGCAGCACCAGCGCAACCAGCTCGACAGGAACCAGCAGCACCACCAGCAGCAGCGCGAGCGCCACCAGCAGCACTGCCATCATGCGACCAACACTAGCACCACCGGCAGCACCTCTGGGACCATAATGACAGAGAGCAGCATCACCACTCGCAGCAACACCAACGCCGCAACAGGTAGCATTGAGACGAACACGATGGGAAACAGCAGCGCCACGCGCAGCGCTACTAGCGCCACCAGCACAACCAGCGCGACCAACACGACAGGAAACAACAGCACCACGCACCCCAGCACAAGCACAACCAGCAGCAACAGTGTGACCAGCACAACAGTAAACAGCAGCACGATCGTAACCAGCAGTACCACTGTGACCAGCTCGACGGGAACCAGCTGCTCCGAGCGCAGCAGCACAAACGCCACCAGCAGTACCATTGTGACCAGCGGGATGGGAACCAGCAGCAACACGCGCAGCACGACCACCGCCACCAGCAGCAACAGTGTGACCAGTATGGCGGTAGACAGCAACACTGGGCACCAGGACAACCGCAAAGAGCAGTACCAGTGTGACGAGCACCACCAAACACCAGAAGTAGCAGGCAACAAGCAGCCTTCCGCAAAGACCAGCACGAAGGAAAGACGCAGCACAACGAGTAGCACTACGAGCGCCATCAGCAGCACCACTGCGACCAGCCCGAAGAGAAACAACAGCACTACGCGCACCAGCACAAGTGCAAGGAGGAGTACCACCGTGAGGAGCATCACAGGACGCAACACCATTGTGAACAGCACGACGGAAATCAGGGCTGAACCTAAATGATGGTTTTCGTTTTCGTGTTGTTATTGTTTTCCCTCGTTTTGTCTTCAATCCGCCTTTCACGCAAAACGAAATCGAAACGAAAACGGCCCACGAAATCGCCAAAACACCGTTTAGGTCCACCCCTGACGGAAATCAGCAGGACCATGCGCAGCACTCTTAGCGACACCAGCAGCACGAATGTCACCAGCACTACGATAACCAGTAGCACAACGCGAAGTAACCCAAGCGGCACCTTGGCACCAAACTGGACGCAGATGGGGCCGCGATCCAGAAGCTTACGCAGCCCACACGCTTGTGGGGCTGCGTCTTCCCCAGCGAAGCGAATGGCGTTCGCAATCCAGATGTGGCGGGCGCCCCAGCGATGGTACAATCTATGATCAATGCGAGAATGGCATTCGCAATCACGGTTGCGGCCAGCACCGAAGCGGCCGTAATCATATTTTCCGCCGGCGCCAGGCGAACGCAGCGTTCGGAATCGAAAGCACAAGCCGCGCTGAGGCGAGAACAACAATCGCAATCATGCGCGCGGCCGACCCCTAGGACCTAGGCGACAGCAGCATTCCGAGTCGCGGCTGGCGTCAAGGCGAAAGCAACATTTTCGATACGATGTGGCTGGTGCCGCAGCGAGAACGACATGCTCAATGAAAAATGTGGCCCGCGCATGGAAGAGAACGACATGCTCAATGAAAGATGAGGCCGGCGCCTAGGCGACAGCAGCATGTTTCATTAGACATGTGGCAGGAGCCACAGAAAGAACGACATGCTCAATGAAGGATGTCGCCGGCGCCGAGGCAACAGCAACAGCCATATGGCCTGCGCCAAGGCGAGAACGACATGCTCAATGAACGATGAGGCCGGCGCCTAGGCGACAGCAGCATGTTTCATTAGACATGTGGCAGGAGCCACGGTAAGAACGACATTCTCAATGAAGGATGTCGCCGGCGCCGAGGCAACAACAACAGCCATGTGGCCTGCGCCAAGGCGAGAACGAAATGCTTCATGAAAGATGTTGCCGGTGAAAAGGCGACACTCACATGTTCACTCCGAGATCTGGCCAGCGCCAAGGCGAGAACGACATTCTCAATGAAGGACGTCGCTGGCGCCTGAGCGACAGCAGCTTTTCAATTAGAGATGTGTCCCACGCGCAGGCGAGAACAACACGGTCAATGAAGGATGTCGCAGGCGACAGCAACAATCTGAGATGTTGCCCACGCACATGTAAGAGCATCATTCCGAGACAAGCGTGTCGCCAAAATGCAAGTGTCATGTCCATTCCGCCCGGGCCGGGCTCGGTGTCACCGAGGTCCTGGTTACATTAGGTGGGTAGTCCACGTTCGGGTGGGGGGGGGGTTGTAGCTAGACTGGAGGTTGTCGATCTGTGTCCCAGTCTCACTCTCCCCTTCTCGGTACTGTATCATCTGTCCCTTGCCTCCTCCCTCCATTCCTCTGTTCTGCCTCCACCGCCGTTGTTGGATATGTTAGCGTCCGCGAAGCAACGATCTTTCCCATCTCCTGCCAGGGCGCTCTGATAACTGCGCGTTGTGCTGCCGCCATCGTCGCTCGCGATGGGCGTGGGTGCGAAGATGGATGCTCTTTCCCCACCGTCGTCCGACTGGGCTGCACTTATCATGGTAAAGAGTTCCGTGTGGTAATTCCCTCTGTGGTGCCTCCACGCGGCAGCATTGCATTGCTGAGCCGCATAGGGATGTCGTCTGGCTTCTTGAACTACTCCGTTTTCCTCGGCATTGTCATTCCCTCCCTCCGCCTCTCCTCCAGTGTCTGGGCAAGGGGAGGTACGTGAGCATTGTATGCCTTGATCAGGCTGTCGCCGCCTACTGTGGCACTGGAAGGGAGGTACAGACTACTTGCTTTGGTTCTACGCGTCGCGTCCGCTCTGATGCGGGGGTCCATTCGTGTTGTGCTGACCTTGCCTCACCTGGTGCTCGTGCAGAGTTGATATCTCACTGATATTATTCGAGTTGCGTGCCAGCCTCTACTGACAGGCCCATTGTTGCCCAATGAGCGCGAGGGGTGTGCCGAAATGAATACGTTGGGCGCATGCGAACGCACCGCAGCCACTGGGGCCGTCACGAAGCGTGTGAGGGGTGTGCCAACATGGGTATGGTGGGCGCAAGCGAACGCAGCCAGTGGGGCCGTCGGTGGAGCTCCCTTTGAGCCACGAACCGTGGAAGAGGTAAGAATTGGGCTCGTTGAACGCATGCGAAGGCAGCCACTGGGGCCATATGTGGAGCTCCTTTGGGGGCCACGAAGCGTGTGAGGGTGTGCCGAAATGGGTGCGGTAAGCACACGCGGACGCAGCCTCTGGGGCCGCAGCCGCAGGTGGGGTCCCCCTATGGGGCCAAGAAGAATGTCAGTGTGAGGGTGTGCCGAGAGGGGTGCGGTGGCCGCATGCGAACGCAGCCACTGGGGCCATATGTGGAGCTCCTTCTGGGGCCACGAAGCGTGCGAGGGGTGTGTGTGTGTGTGGGTGTGTGCCGAAATGGGTGCGGTGGGGTGCGCGCGAACGCTGGCCCCGAGGGCCTGCGGTGGAGCTCCCCGTGCGGGGCCACGAAGCGCCGCGCGTCAGGGGGCGTGCCGAGAGGGGCGGCCGGTGCGGAGGGCAGGGGAAGGCAGGGCAAGGCATGGGAGGAGCGGGAGTTCACGGGCGAAGAACGATATAAAATAAACTTTTTTCCCCCGTCGGGGACACCTGCCCCAGGGCGGCTGGGAGGTTTATACCCTTGCGGTGGCACCGCAGGGGTAAAAACTTTCCAGGCGCTCAGGGGCAGGTGTCCCCGACGGCGAAAAGGTTTATGTTATACCGTTCTTCGCTCGCTGAGGGAGGGGGGGAGGATGGCGGCAGGGGCGCGGAGCGCCAGCGCTTCCAGAAAAACGAGGGCCCAGCACCACATGGCTTTTCTCTGTGAGTAGGGAGCTCCTCCTGCCCCCGTCCCGCCTCCCTCCCCCTCCATTCCTCCACGTCCTCATTCATCGCTCTCTCTCTCTCTCTCTCGCCCTCTCTCTCTCTCTCTTCCAACCCTTCTTTTCACCGCTCTCTCTCTTCCAACCCTTCCTGCCTCCACGTCCTCATTCATCGCTCTCTCTCTCTCTCGCCCTCTCTCTCTCTTCCAGCCTTTCTGTTCGTCCTGTGATTCAAGGGCTGCGAAGAGGGCGGGTATCCATGGTCTGGGGCACACGTGCTGGATGGCACGCGAGAAGCGAAGAGCGAACAGGGTCTCAAACATGATGGACCAACGAACCCGGAAAGGGATATAGAACCGCATGCATGGAAGCGTTTTCACGACACCGTACTGGGCGACGGGCACTTCCACGAGACACCCCGCGAAACATTCCACGAGACACGGGCGACCGTTTTCAACGTTTTCCTGGAAACAGTCCACGAGACACCCCGCGAAACAGTCCACGAGACACCCCACGAAACATTCCACGACGACAGGCAACCACTCAACCAAGGCGGTGTGGTCGTGCTGGGGAGTGGTCGTGCTGGGGTGTGGTCGTGCTGGGGTGTGGTCGTGCAGGGGGGTGGCCCGCACCCTGTGATTTATCGATCGGGATTCCAAAAACAAGGAAAGAATCCGCCGGCCCACCTCAGTTGAGGTACCCGGGACAGATTACCATCCTAAGGGCCTGTTCTTTTTTGGATTCGGGCAAGTTTACTTGCATGGCGTTCGCCCCCCCCCCCCCCCCTCGCCCCTCTTCAAGCGAATACTAGCGTGCAAGTGCCTTTCGACTTGCGTGATTTCCGCGCCCCCCCCGGCTTGCTTCAGGCTCAGCCCCCCCCCCCCCCGTCCATGCAAGTAAACTTGCCAGAGTCTAAAAAAAACAGGCTCAAGAGAACCCTGGGCCCACGCCCTTTCCGGGAAGAGACTGTTGGTGAGCTCCCACTTCTGGAAGCTTTGTGTTGCTGATCCCCACTCTTGAAGGGGCCCCAGGACACACAAATAAATACACACAAATAAAAATATTCCCCATATTTCCTATATTTTCTGGGTTTTTGTCTTCCCCACCACTTCCCATATTTTCTGGGGGATCGACGATTAGTTGTGTCTGTGTGATTTTTTCCCTCCTGAACTCTCCGGTGCCCGTCGTCTGTTTTCCGTTGACATGGTGCCCTCCCGGGGCTCGCACCGTGCTGGTTACCAAGGGAAGTCTTCCGCCTCAGACTGCGCTGTTGGCCCCCCTGGTTGCAACAACAACGACTTCCGTGTTGAAACGTCCGGCCTTCGCCGAAGACTTCCTTGCAGTGTGCCTCGCTCTCGCCCGAGACGTCCTTGCGCTTTATATTCACGAACCGCTTCTTCGGCGCTCAGGAATCGCGCGTTCGCTCGGGAGTTCCTTGAGTTACAGAGGAACCGCACTCTCGCCTGAGACTTCCTTGAAATCCCCTCTTGCCATCTCCTCTTGGTAGTCCCTTTCGTCCTCCATCTGCGTACGTACTACCTGCCTCCTTCTTGACCCCTTCCCTCCTCCCTCCCTTCTTCCAGTCTCTTCGTCCTCCACACCCCAAAGACGGCCTGATCAAAGACGACGAAGAGGGCGGGCATCGAGGCTTGGGGAGATTCATGCTGGATGGCGCGCGAGCGCATAAGAGCGAAGAGACTCAAACATGATCGCTGCTGCTGTTGGTGCTGTTGCCGGCGGGGGTCGGTTCCGGCGGCACCCAGAATGACCGCGAAAAAACACATCCCCAGTCCAAAAATCGCGGATTCGCCGAGGATTCGAAGATCGGCCAAAGACTTCGGGGTATGTTTTGCGTTCGCCGTCGTCACCCTGGTAAAACCCTACCCCAAAATATGCCCTCCCCGAAGTCTCGAGGTGTCTGCGTTTTGTCCTGGCCCCCGCGTTTTGGGATTTAGGAAGGCACCAACTATACACCAACACCGATCCTGGCCAGGATCACCCTGGGCCCAGGATCGGTGTATACGCCCTCCTGCCTTGGGCAAGAAGGCATATACACCGATCATGGGGCCAGGGTGATCCTGGGCCAGGATCGGTGTTGGTGTATCGTTGGTGCCCTCCGATTGGGCGTCTGTTTTGAGTTAGTGACAGAACGCTCCAGCGGGCGCTTCGCTGTCCACGGACACGCGGCCGGCCGTCGCCGAGGCGAGCGACGCCGAAGGCGCACCGCGGGGGCCCCGCGAGAGCAGCAGCCGCCGCGGTGGAGGCGGGGGCCTGCTGCTCGTGCTCGTCCGCCTCCACTGCCGCCGCCGCCTCCTCCTCCTCCTCCTCCTCCTCCTCCTCCTCCTCGTCTTCGCCCGCCTCCCTCTCCGCCTCCCCCATTTCCCCTCCGCTCGCGCCGCCGCCTCTCCGCGGCCTCCTCCTCCTCCTCCCGCCCTCCCCCCGGGAGCCGCACGGCCCCGGGCCATCGCTCGGACGTCCATGTCCTGTGTGTTCTTTGTCTCGGTTTCGTGCGTGTTTTTGTTCGCCAGATGGTCAAGGGCGCTCCTCGATGGTCCTCGCCGGAGGAAAAAAATACACGCGTCCGAGCGATGCCAAGTGCTCGCAGGCGCGGCAGGGCCCGGGGGTGGGGCGAGGCCGGGGCGGTCCTCCAGGGCGGCCGCGAGGCCGCTCTGGTTGCCCGCGGGCTGGAAGGCGCTCGCGTTCGTCTGGCACTTCCTGCACAGCTCCTGCCGGGGGGGCGGCGGCGGCGGCGGCGGGATCGGCGCGGCCCTCCCCGGGGGGGCCCTCGCCCCCGAGGCTGCGGTCCCCTCGAGGGGGCGCGGTCGGATGGAGGGCAGCCCGCGTCTGCCCTCGTGGGTACCCCCTCGTACCTGCCTCCTCTCCTCATCCGATGCCCTTCGGGCTCAAGGCGTTGACAACTTGTCATAGAAAGATCCATGATCGACTCTCCTTATCAGAGGAGACAGCATGTATGGTCCCCATCCTACGGATCATTGGTGCGGTTGGCTCTCTGATCCATCCCTTCCATTCGCAATGGCGTAAACTGTTCCGCCGACAGGCAGCGCCTACGAGCCTCAGGACGACTCAAAAGCTGATACCCCTACAGGGGCACAGCGGGGTATATACCTTTCCAGCAGCCCTGGAGCGAGTGCCCCCGACGGCGGATCGGCTTATGGAATCGCTACTCGCCCGATATAATCGGCGAAACGCAGGAGTGACCCCACAGTAGGGGCTCGACCACAAGAAGCCTGCCGCAAGAAACCAAGCCCTGAGACCCCAGGGCGCCCACCGACTTCTGGTGTGGGCACGTCGCGCTCTCGATTGCAGAAACCCTCGGAGCCCAAGAAGCCCATGGCACCCTGGAGACGCGCGGGGTGCTTCTTCGCATGGGCGCACGGGGAGAGGAGGGGGAGGAGGAGGAGGACGACGACAAGGAGGAGGAGGAGGAGGAGGAGGAGGAGGGGGAGGAGGAGGAGGAGGAGGAGGAGGAGGAGGAGGAGGAGGAGGAGGAGGAGGAGGAGGAGGAGGTCTCCACTGCAGGCAGGCAAGGCCCCTGGTGCGCGAATTTTTAAGGGGGGCGCGCCACCCGGCCACCTCCAGGCGCGCCCGCCGCCGCCGCCGCAGCGCGCTCGGCGATCGGGGAGGCCCCGGCGAGCCCGCACCGAAGGCCGCTTCAGCGAAGGGTCACTCTTGCGCGTCATCGATAAGAAGAAGGCAGCGCGGAGGCGTCAACCCGCCAACCCCAGGACCCACCCCATTTCGCCTGCGACACTCGCCGCCGCCCCCGCTCTCCCCCGAAGGGGGTGCTCGCGCATCGCCTCGGCGCCACGGGTCCACGAGCCGCAGCTGTGCCGGCGAACACGTGAGAGGCGGAAGCGTCGCAGGGGCGGGGACGGCCGTCCGCTTGGCACGCGGGTGGGTCCCAGTCATCCGCGCGCGCTTGCTGTTTCCTTGCCGATCTGGGCCACCACGCGCAAGTGCGCGCGCGCACAGGGCAAGCGAACGCGTGCACACTGATCGGGAGCCGTGCCGCTTGCGAGGTGACGGCCCTCGTCTGCCTCCTCAAACTGCGCATCGCGAGCATCACCACCATCGCCATTGGCAACATCAACACCATCATCACCATCTCACACATTCATCACCATCACCACCCAACACTTCCCCACCAACGTACTAGACAGCATCAACACAATCACAATCAAAACCACAATTAATACCATCATGGCCACCACCATTCCCATCACCAACACCACCACCACCACCACCACCACCACCGTCACCAAGGACATGAAGATCCTCATCCTCCTCTTCCTCCTCCTCCTCCTCCTCCTCCTCCTCCTCCTCCTCCTCCTCTTCCTCTGCATCGTCCTGGTCGCCACTCACGAGTCCTTCTCCGTTTTTACCCTCATTCTCCTCCTCCTCCTCTTCTCCTACTCCTCTTCCTCCTCCTCCTCCTCCTCCTCCTCATCCTCCTCCGACCTACCTACCGATACCCCTTTGCCTGACGAAGGACCCAACCATAAGCAATTGTGGATACCGCGTTATGGGTCCATCGTTCGACGGGCCTCCCTATGGGGCCACAAAACGTGTGAGGGGCGTGCCGAAATGGGCGGGGAACCGCACGCGAACCCTGTCAATTAAGCCTTCGGTGGAGCTCCCTATGGGGCCACGAAACGCGTGAGGGGTGTGCCGAAATGGGCGGGGAACAGCACGCGAACCCTGTCAATTAAGCCTTCGGTGGAGCTCCCTATGGGGCCACGGAACGCGTGAGGGGCGTGCCAAAATGGGCGGGAAACCGCACGCGAACCCCGCCACTGGGCATTCGGTGGAGCTTCCTATGGGGCCACGAAACGCGTGAGGGGTGTGCCAAAATGGGCGGGGAGCCGCACGCGAACCCCGCCACTTGGGCCTTCGGTGGAGCTCCCTATGGGGCCACGAAACGCGTGAGGGGTGTGCCAAAATGGGCGGGGAGCCGCACGCGAACCCCGCCTCTTGGGCCTTCGGTGGAGCTCCCGATGGGGCCACGGAACGCGTGAGGGGTGTGCCAAAATGGGCGGGGAACCGCATGCGAGCCCTGCCACGTGGGCCTTCGGTGGAGCTCCCGATGGGGCCACGAAACGCGTGAGGGGCGCGGCGAAACAGAGACATGCGGAGAGCAGAGGCGAGAAGGGGGGGGGAGGAGGAGGGGCAGCGGGGAGGATGGGGAGGAGGGAGGAGGATGAGGAGGAGGAGGAGGAGGAGGAGGACCAAGACCAAGACCAAGAGACGCTGGGGATCAAACCACGTCCGACGGAAAGCTTTGCACGGGCCTATACAGGCCTACGGAGAGAAAACAAAACTAGATCCCTGCGTGGGGCGTAGCCCAACAAACCCAAACCCTCGATGGGGAGCCCTCGCAGGAGGGAGCAACCCCCGCTGGCCCCATAGGCGCACCCATTGCGCGGACCGCCGCGCTGGGTTGCCTGCGGGCGCCAGCCAACCTCTAGCTACGACGCCTCGAATTCACAGCTCCACGCACCGACAGCCTCGGTCGGGCACTCCTCACTTCGGACGAGCTCACAGTCCTTCCCTCGGCTCGATCGGTCGCAGCAGCAGCTACTCTCTCCTCCTCCTCCCCCTCCGCCCCCGCCCGAACAACAAAAGAATCCCTCCCCGTGATGCGGCAGTCCTTGATGACCCCGCGCATCACCAGCATGCGGAGGCGCTCGCTGTGCTGCAGCGCTCTCGGCAGGGAGAGCTGGGGCGGGGGCAAGGTCCTGCTGCGGACCTCCTGGGGGCTGGAGGAAGGAGTGGGATGCACAGAACGGGCGGGTTCACTTCTTGGGGCCGACGATGACCTCTCACCCTCTCCCTGGGGTGACTGAACACTCGTATCGATATCATTTGCACCAGCAGTACTTGCTCGAGGGATATCTGGATGACCACCCACAACTTCAGAATGAGCAATACACTTCTCCCCATTCGTCTGTTCGGTCATCTGAGTACGCGTGATATCACCATCCAGACTCTGACTGCGAATTCGATCTTGATCAGCTTCAACCGAAGGTCTCACCTCTTGCTCAACAGCTGGCCAATCTTGCGCTCGAGTGGCCCGCGCGGGGCCGATCCCACGAGCCTCTTGGCCCCTGCCTCCGAGAGGATACGGTCGAGAATCTCGCGAAGCACGACGCCAGCGGGCCGTGCGGTCTGGATGTGCACTTGGAACTTCACCATGCCCTTCATCTTGGCGCTGGTGTGCTCCCCCCTCGGTGCTTTGACTGAGAAGTGCGTGACATACTGTGTGATGTACTCCGCTGGCTGACCCTTGACGTGCATCTGGAAGAAGTTCGCCATGGGCTCCTGAGCCGCTCCCTGCGCTGCCTTGACCGCAGCCGCCATCACCATAAAGAAGACGGTCACGAACGGGGGGCCCAGCTGTCCTACGTCGATGTTGTCGTCCGTCTTCTTCTTCTCTTTCAGGCCGGCGACAGCACCTGTGTAGAAGCGGTTCGCCTCGATGCCCGACTTCGCGAGGAAGTGGATCTCGGGGACGAGGTACGTCTCGAGAACGCTGCCTTCGAGGGTGGCCTGCTCCCGTGCCGTGATCAGCGCCAGGCGTGCCGTCAGCTCTGCTAGCTCCTCGAGCTTCTTGTTGGACTTGGCGCCGCGGCCTGTCTGGGCGACTTCCTGAGAGCCTGAGCCTACGTTGGCCTGCTTCGAACGATCTCCTCCTTCGGCAGGGGCAGGTCGCTTCACGCCGCACACCGTCATGGCCCACATTGGCCGCTCCTCGCCGAACATCTCGACGTCCCAATCGTCGCCTGGCATCCTTCAACGGCTGTATGCGAGGCTGAACGGGCAGGTGGGTACAGGCGTGTTCGTTGTAAAGAGACAAGGACGTACAGCTTGAACCACAGACCCCACATACGATGACGGACTCAGGCTCAATCAGCGGCCTCAGCGTGGAAGCCTTGTTGGCCAAGCATCGCCCGAAGTTAATGGCTCCGTGAAGGCGTTTTTGTGCATTTTTTCGGTCCCAGAAGACTTCCTTGCAATAGACACACTGGTTCGTAACCGTCACAACTTGAGACAACTTGGACGAGTTGTGGACCAGGCGCAGGTGGTTGACCAGTCCCTTCTTCGAGGTGAACGAGGCCCCACAGGGGCCATTCTCATCAGTCCACGGGCACCTGAAGTCCACAGAGACACATAGCGCACCTTCTTCGAGAGCCTCGGGATCTGCCGGTTGGAGGCCAGGGGGAGCAACTTCAACATCGAAATGTCGACTGCGAAGAACCCGAACATCAATCTTCACGAAGTCCTGAGAGACCTCGACGTCGAAAAGTCCTAGAATCGAACCTTCAGCACGGGCCCAACACGAGGCCGCATCATCACTCCACTTAACAAGCTCCTCAAGGTCCTCCTGGAACTGCAGGGCCCACGGGTTCGCGTACATCCCAAGAGACCCATTCTCCGTGAAAACCTCGGTATGCTCAAACGGGAGAGATCCAAAGATAGCCGCCAACATCTGCTTGTGCGATCCCGGGCGTCGCACACATGCCTGCAGCCATCTCAGGCGACGGACCTGTAGTTCACTGGCAAGAGGAGAGAGGCGCCACCACTGGTACACCTCACGAGTGGAAAGACATCTTCTCCGTCCGTCCTCCTCCTCCCAGCTAGCCTCGCCACGCATTGCTTTTCTGGCAAGACCTCCGACAGCAAGCTCCAGAGTCTGCAACTGGGACGC